TTATGAGTCTGTTTACATCTCCAAAGCTCAAAACGCTCTGTTCCACCTTGTGATGTCATGAAGTGTTAGATTTCAAGTGAACAGCTCTTATGTTTTTTACTTTTATTTCAGCAGAGATCGGCAATTCCAAGGTTAGAAATGATCCAAAATGGATTCTAGATGAAGGCGCGTGGAGTTTAAAAACACAGTAGGAGCGTATCGTGTATCACCAGATGACATCACAAGGTGGAACAGAGTGTTTGAGAGAAGAGCTCGGCCAAAATGTGCGTTAAAACAAGTGTGAACGAAACAAAACACAAACTCCGGGTCTGTTTTTGACGAGGAAACGACATTAGAAACCTTCAACTTCCACTTTTAAACGTTTTCGCTCTGGACTTTTCAGACGCCGCGTTTCCGTCGTCCGTGTTCCGCCGCCGCCGCCGCCGCAGACCCTCTCCTCCTCTCCTCCTCGTCCGTCCGCCGTGAGATTAAAGTGTGGCTCTGAATCCTAAAGGGGCTCTTCATTAGTCGCGGCTCCAGCCTCTGATTAAAAACACCTTTCATTTGACTAATGTTTCATCTTATCTGCCGCTCGCTGCCCTCAGATCAATCACTCTCATCTTTAATACACGGACGCCGCCGCCGCCGCCGCCGCTGCAATCAGACCTGCGCTATTACCGGGGGTCAAAGGTCAATGCTTATTCATACAGATACGTGATGTCGGGGAGTAACAGATTACATGTCCTGGAGTTAAGTAATCAGAGTATAAACTGTATTCAGTTACAGTTACTGTTTCAGTGAGTGGTAATTGGATTACAGTTACTTTGTTGAAATAAATGGACGATTCGTTTTTTCAGTTTTCGATTTTGTGTTTAAATGAAGAATGGAAAAAACAGATAACGGCCGTTTCCCGTTTACATGACTTCAGTGACTGCGATGCCGAACTTTTGCACCGCATACGGACTGAACCAGGACGGATCCAGGTCCGAGACCAGAGCGGGACTTAGACCGGGACCAGACCGGGACCAGAGCGGGACTGAGACCGGGACCAGACCGGGACCAGAGCGGACCAGAGCAGGACTGAGACCGGGACAGAGCTGCTCTGGTCCTCCGCACTCAAGAACCGTGGCTGGTTCCGAGGTGGAGCAAAGCCTCCGACTGACGCATTCACACCAATGAAAATGAACCGAACTAAGAGCTTTTGGTTCAAATGGACCAGGTCCGGGACCAGACCGGGACCAGAGCCCTACTGAGACTGGGACCAGACCGGGACCAGAGCGGGCCTGAGACCGAGACCGAGGGACCAGACCGGGACCAGAGCCGGAGGCTCAGAGCCCACGGCAGGGCCGGAGCTCGAAGCTGAGGCTCGGACCTCGTGGAGGCTCGGAGTCAAAGCTCGGAGTCCGGTCTGGTCCTGGTCTGGTCCCGGTCTCAGTCCCGCTCTGATCCCGGTCTGATCCCGGTCTCAGTCCCGCTCTGGTCCCGGTCTGGTCCCAGTCTCAGTCCCGCTCTGGTCTCAGACCTGGATCAGTCCTGGTTCAGTCCGTACGCGGTGCAAAAGTTCGGCATCGCAGTCACAGAAGTCATGTAAACGGGAAACGGCCGTTATCCGTTTTTTCCATTCTTCATTTAAACACTAAAATCGAAAACTGAAAAAACGAATCGTTATCCGTTTTTTCATTTTGGTTTTGGAGACAAATAATGAAGAAAACTGTTGTTTTTTTTCGTTTTCTTATTTTTGGTTTTATATTGAAAAACGAATGAACGAATGATACACGGATTTTTTGTGCTTCTTTCTGGACGCGCACTGAACCTTTAGAAAAAAAACACACCAGACAAAACTTGCCTGGACGAATCCAGACTCATCTCTGTACCAGCGGCTCCACATACAAAATGTTCTCTTCAAACTCAGGATGATTTAATCAGTCAAACGTTTCTTTTTTGGTTCTTCCCGTGGATCAATCCTGCCCATCACCTTCACTTTTCACTATTTTTCAATTCCCTCGGGAAGAGAAACAGTTTGAACAGAGGTTTGAGTCACACACATCTGATTCACTTTTGCATTTATGGAATTCGCAAACAAATTTCTCGAGCCGTTTTCCGCTGTTAGGATCCAACAACCACACAAAACTAAAATATGACAATATCAGAACCAGAAACAAAAGCGATATGGTTCAAAAGACTTGAAAAGATCAACTTTGACACTTTTTCCTTCCCAGTGTGGATTGCACGATGACCGGAAGATTCAGGATGCATGTATATTTAGAGACACTGGTGCGGTCTTAAAGGTTGTATAGAGGATTTTCCAAGGAACGAGAAATCCAGCGACTGTTTGTCCTTTTTCAAATGTTGCGCATGCGTGAAACCACCTCCCTCCCCTACAGCTCCTACGTAGAAACACCTCCTCCCTCCTCCTCCTTACGCCAGAAACAGGTTTGTTTACAGCCGGTGCTGCACATGACTTGTAAACAACTAACTACAGTGTTGGTTAGGCAAGACGGAGAAGTGAGGAGCAGGGGGGAAGAGTGGAGATCGGGCAGCGGGTGACAGGAGCAGGAAAGGGGAGCAGAGAAGAGAAGGTGCGCGGAGATTCAGTGCGAATGAACTAACTACAACACGCAGCAGCAAGCGGACTCTTTCTTTGCCTTGAAAATTACGTTTTCAGACATAGGATATCGCTTTCGTGTCCTGAAAAATGTTTGTCTCGCTCTTGGAAATAAAGTACGTTTTCATAATAAGCAGAAGTTTCCTGTCCAGGAGTAATTTGTGGACCAGTGCGTCAGTCTTTAGACCCTTCGTCTGCTTCAGTCGCGCCATCGCTGGAATGAATCTTCAAGAATCACCTTAGTTTGGGCTTCGCTGCTTTTCCCCTTGTCTTCTTCTTTCAGCGACCTCAAAAACGGACTTTGTTTTGCGGCGAACTGCTCCTGGATTCTTGTCGCCATTGCAACAAACTTTGTGCGAACTGCGAGGAAGATATAGGTCAAAAAAAGCCGCTAAGAACTGTTGCGTTGGTGGAGTAAACAGCGTCTGTGCGTCTTGCGTCTGTGGACTGCGTGACAGTCGTACGTAAACCACGTACCGGCGGCGCAGGCAAGTCAGTTACACTAGAAACGTAGGGAGTTTGATTGACAGCCTGTCAGCTCACAGATAACGAGGCAGTGTCGTTATCTATTGGCAAATGTTTAGCCCCACCACGTCCAGAGTTGATGAATTTTTATTCTCTTTTTTTTGGTCATCATAATTACAAGGCGACTGCATCTATAATCTATCACTGACAATTTGAAACAAAAAAAAATCCTCCATACAACCTTTAAATCATAAATCATAAATGTTTATTGTTTTTGTATTGTCACCGTCCTTGTCTGTTTTAAAAATGGTGCAGAATAAAGACGAAATGATAAAAATAATAAAAATCTAACAGCTCCAAAAAGTTTATTTAACAGAATCGACGGTTAGAACTTTGAGAAGCGAGTGTCACCGTCTCTTTATTTCAATATATTTCCGATTATCCGCACAAACAGAGGCGTGTTTTGATTCAGCGGGTGTGAAGGGTTCCAGCGGAGAACGTCATTAGCGTGGCTCTGTCCCCAGCACGACGCCTGTCAATCAAGTCCAACTCCTGCAGCCCGCGGAGACTCGACGCTCCCGAGAACCGAGACCAATCAGGACGTGAACAATCTCCAAACGACGCCGAAATACGACCACAAAAAAACGACGGCACGAAGAAAAACGAGACACGTTTAAAGTTATTCATCGTCTCTGCACAAACCGAACCTGGAATTTGTCTTAAAAGCAGAAGTGGGATTTTTAAAGTCTGGAACAAGATTCATGACTGACACCTGCCTACTTTAAAAAAAATAAATAAATAAATAAAAAAAATAAGCCCTCAAACATAAAAAGCCAGTTCAGAAAAATTCTGTAATATTTTATGTAATTTTTTATTTTAATTTTTAATGCAAAATCTTGTTATTAACTAAACCAGGACTAAATCAAGTCTAAACCAAAACTACACCAGGACTAAACCAGGTCTAAAACCAGGATTAAATCAGGACTAAACCAGGACTACACAAGGTCTAAACCAGGTCTAAAACCAGGATTAAATCAGGACTAAACCAGGACTACACAAGGTCTAAACCAGGCCTAAATCAGGATTAAACCAGGTTTAAACTAGGACTGAACCAGGACTGAAACAGGTCTAAACCAGGACTAAACAAGGACTAAACCAGGACTAAACCAGGACTAAACCAGGACTAAACCAGGACTAAAACCAGGACTAACTAAACCAGGACTAAACCAGGACTACACCAGGACTAAACCAGGACTACAGGACTAAACCAGGACTAAAACCAGGACTAAACCAGGACTACAGGACTAAACCAGGTCTAAAACCAGGATTTAAAACAGGACTAAACCAGGACTAAACCAGGACTAAACCAGGACTACACCAGGACTAAACCAGGACTAAACCAGGACTAACCAGGACTAAACCAGGACTAAACCAGGACTAAACCAGGACTACACCAGAACTAAACCAAGACTATACCAGGACTACACCAGGACTACACCAGGACTAAACCAGGACTATACCAGGACTACACCAGGACTATACCAGGACTACACCAGGACTAAACCAGGACTACACCAGGACTACACCAGGACTACACCAGGACTAAACCAGAACTAAACCATGACTAGACCAAGTCTAAATCAGGACTAAACCAGGACTAAGCCAGGACTAAACTAGGTCTAAACCAGTCTAAACCAGGACTACAACAGGACTAAACCAGGTCTAAACCAGGACTAAAACAGGACTAAACCAGGTCTAAACCAGGACTAAACCAGGACTAAACCAGGACTAAACCAGGTCTAAACCAAGTTTAAACCAGGACAACAAAAGGACTAAACCAGGACTAAACCAGGTCTAAAACCAGGACTAAACCAACTTTAAACCAGGACTAAACAGAACTAAACCAGGTCTGTTTGTGATGAGGAAACAACATTTTACCAGCTCAAAAAAATCAGTAGTTTTTTTTTTTTTTATTGTAAATCTATTTCACATCATGATTGCACTTGGACATTTTATTCAAAAACATTTCAGCCCTCGTTGGATATTTGGATGAAATATCAGAAAACAAAAAAACAAAATAATATCTGTAACTGTATAAATGTAACATAGATCAGTTTAATGCCATACTGAGGAACATTTGTGTATAATGAAACAAAAAGCAGAAGACATCTCCACCAGAAAACTTAGAAAAGCTCCGTTCAGACTGAAGGACCAGACCGGGACTGAGACCAGGACTAAGACTGGGACCAGACTGAGACTAAGACCGGAACTGAGACTGAGACTGGGTCCAGACTGAGACCAGACCGGGACTTAGGGCCAAGACCAGACCAGAACTAAGACTGGAAACAGGACCAGGACTGAGACCAGGACTGGGACCAGGACTGAGACCAGGACCAGCCAGGGACTGAGGCCAAGAACAGATCGGGACCAGAACAGGACCAGACCGGGACTGACACCAGGACTTAGACTGGGACCAGGACCAGGACTGAGACCGGGACTGAGACCAGAAACAGGATCAGGACTGAGACCAGGATTAAGACTGGGACCAGACCAGGACAGAGACCAGGACTGAGATGGGACTGAGACCTGGAAACAGGACCAGGACTGAGACCAGGACCAGACCGGGACTGAGGCCAAGAACAGACCGGGACTGAGACCAGGACTTAGACTGGGACCAGGACCAGGACTGAGACCAGGACTGAGACTGGGGCCAGACCGAGACCAGACAGGGACTGAGGCCAAGACCAGACCAGGACCAGAACAGAACTGAGACCAGGACTGAGACCAGGACCAGCCCGAGACTGAGGCCAAGACCAGACCGGGACCAGAACAGGACCAGACCGGAACTGAGACCAGGACTTAGACTGGGACCAGACCAAGACTAAGACCAGGACTGAGACTGGGACTGGGGCCAGACCGAGACCAGCCCGGGACTGGGGCCAAGACCAGACTGGGACCAGACCAGGACTAAGACCGGAAACAGGACCAGGACTGAGACCAGGACCAGCCCGGGACTGAGGCCAAGACCAGACCAAGACCAGGACCAGGACCAGGACTGGGACCAGGACTGAGACCGGGACCAGGACTGAGACCAGGACTGAGACGGGGAACTGAAAACGGTTTAGACCTGGTTCAGTCCTGGTTCAGTCCGTATGCGACCCAAAAGTCCGGCATTAAAAGATCAGATACAGGGTTGAAAAAATCAGATTTGTGTGAGTCGAGGCTGCAGTCTGAACGGAGACTCAGTTTATCTTTCAGGATTTGTTGAAGAGTTTTTGGTGAGTGAAGCGGCGGTGACGTTAGTGAGTAAAGACGCTGAGGGTTGGACTCTACAGACATTTGTGCGTGAATAAAAACATGATTCTGGTCATTATAACGAGCCCGGGTGATTCTGAAAGGGTCAGACGAAGAACCCTGACATGGTTTTCACACACACTGCACCCCGACGTCCTCGCTGTGACCGCAGTTATTGGTGCCGATTCCAGCGTGGGGACAGTTAAAGACGTCCGCCTCGGTTCCTGTGCACCTGAGCTCGTCCAGCCAGATCCTCCCGGTGCCTGAAGAGGAACATTAAACAACTCGGTTTCAATCAATCAATCAAACTTTATTTCTATATTCGAGTTTCAGTTGACGTCATTGTTATTAAAAGCCCGCGTTGCTGCTGGGAAATATTTTGGTCGGAGGCAAGAAACACGGTAGCGTCAAACACAGTGTGTAACCTCGCGTATTTATCCCTGATAATGGTAAATTCCTGCTGCATTATCGGATGCACAAATAGAAGCACGGAAGAAGGAAAATGTCTTTTTCGTATTCTGAGTGAAAAGAACCGCTAACGGTGAATTAAACGACTTTCAAACATTCGCAGAGCAAACGTAGAAGATCCTAACAAACCGTGGACTCCAACAAGTTCAACAACACATCGAGACTCTTGGAGGTTTTCATCTTTTCTGCTGTGAATGGCCCAGGAGTTTCCACCAAGTCATTGTGGATGTCGCCCAAGTGAATATTTGTCCAGGTAGTTGGCGATTCTGACCAGAAATTTGGTTTGGTTCCACCTTTTGTCGGGGTTGAAAAGGGTGATTTGTCGTCCGTCGATGCTTATGACCAATTTCTGGTCAAATGGTCTTGGGTCCTCTGCCGTTAGAGTGGATAAATAACCAGGGATCAATACCCTTTACGTGCTTTCTCGCTCCGTCCATCATGTTGAATTAGTGTTTCTTGCTGCCGACCAAAATAATTCCCAGCATGCAACGCGCGCTTTTGTCAACAATGAAACTTGTCTATAGCACCTTCCAACGAGCAAAGTGCTGTACAACATTAAAACAAGATAAAAAACAATAAACATCATACAAACAGGTCAACAAAGCACATTACACCATTAGTGTTAAAAGTGTTAAAAGCCGTTCTAAATAAGTAGGTTTTAAGTTTGGCTTTGAACAGATTTACATTATAGCACCAGATATTTTAAAGCTACAAGTCTGTTTATGCCACAGAAGGGTCCGCTTTAACCTCGGGGTCACATAGACTCGACAGAACTTTTTTTTTCCTTCCCGCTCTCTTGGGGCGGGTCAATCAGACCCAGAAATGTATTTTTCTTTTCTTCATTTATGGGTGTGACTGACCCATGAGAGCGGGAAGGAAAAAAGAAATCTTTCTTCTGGTCTATGTGACCCCGAGGAGAGCGTGAGGGTTAAAACGTGTGAACGGGTCAATTTGTGCAGAGCTCAATCACATGAACATTCTTCACACATTTACCAAGGCACACTTTAAAAGGTTGTATGGAGGATTTTTTTTTTGTTTCAAGTTGTCAATGATAGATTATAGATGCAGTAGCCTTGTAATTATGATGACCAAAAAAAAGAGAATAAAAATTCATCAACTCTGGACGTGGTGGGGCTAAACATTTGCCAATAGATAACGACACTGCCTCGTTATCTGTGAGCTGACAGGCTGTCAATCAAACTCCCTACGTTTCTAGTGTAACTGACTTGCCTGCGCCGCCGGTACGTGGTTTACGTACGTCTGTCACGCAGTCCACAGACGCAAGACGCACAGACGCTGTTTACTCCACCAACGCAACAGTTCTTAGCGGCTTTTTTTGACCTATATCTTCCTCGCAGTTCGCACAAAGTTTGTTGCAATGGCGACAAGAATCCAGGAGCAGTTCGCCGCAAAAGAAAGTCCGTTTTTGAGGTCGCTGAAAGAAGAAGACAAGGGGAAAAGCAGCGAAGCCAAACTAAGGTGATTCTTGGAGATTCATCTCTTCAGTCGATGGCGCGACTGAAGCAGACGCAGGGTCTAAAGACTGACGCACTGGTCCACAAATTACTCCTGGACAGGAAACTTCTGCTTATTATGAAAACGTACTTTATTTCCAAGAGCTACACAAACGTTTTTCAGGACACGAAAGCGATATCCTATGTCTGAAAACGTAATATTCAATGCAAAGAAAGAGTCCGCTTGCTGCTGCGTGTTGTAGTAGTAGCAAGTTTATTCGCATGGAATCTCCGTGCACCCCTCTCTGCACCCCCTCCCCGCTCCTCACTTCTCCACCTTGCCTAACCAACACTGTAGTTAGTTGTTTACAAGTCATTTGCAGCGATGAGCACTTGTTTTCTAGAAACAAACCTGTTTCTGGCGTAAGGAGGAGGCGGGAGGAGGTGTTTTTACGTTGGGAGCTGTGGGGGAGGCGGGTCAAACAGGACAAACAGTCGCTGGATTTCTCATTCCTTGGAAAATCCTCTATACAACCTTTAAATCAGGCATGTCCAAACTATGGCCCTCAGGCTTCCTTGTGAATTGGCCCAAATTACTTTGCATAAATTACAAATTAACTTTTTACTGCAAGTTTTTTGAAAATTTACCTTGATAAAACTAATGTTTAATATTTAGTGTGTGTTTTTAAGGATCTTAGAATGAGCCACAGTCTTTATTCATTCTAACATGTTAAACATGCACATACTTTAATTATTCACTGTGTAGAGCACCAGTCTACAGTCCTCTGCTTCATCTGTGTTTACATATGCGGCTCTTGATGAAAAAAGTTTGGACACTCCTGCTTTAAATGGTGCAAACTATTACTTGGTTCACCATAACAGATCTATATTTTGCTTTATTATTACTTACTCAATCAAAATTTATAATTTATATAAAATTTTAAGTATAATAAACACACACAAAGCTAAGATAAACAGTTTCAGAGACGGGTGATAGTTTTTCACTGTGAACTGAATAGGAGTCAGAGTTGTCCCGTGTTCACTGCCTGTTTGTACGGCTGCTCTTTAAAACACGGCTCAGAGCAGAACAGAGTCGGTGTTGCATCGTGAGGACGACGACAGAGCGCTCGGTGTGTTTACCTGCAGTAGCCGAGAAGGTGGTCAGAACACTCTGATATCCCAACATCCTGCAGATCACCTTCCCGTCCACTCTGTCGAAGTTATCGTCACAGACCGTCCCCCACACACCGCTGTACCTCACCTCCACACGACCACGAGACGGCCCGGGCACCAGCCGCACGTTCACTGTACACACACACACACACACACACACACACACACACACACACACAGAAGAAGTCACAATTAGAGACGGGCGTTCGATGAAATTTTCTTAATCGATCATCGGGAGAATTAACGATCAATTTTCGATTAATCATTCATGTTTTTTTTAAATATATAATAAGTATCATAATTATTACTACTATTACTAATCTGTATAAATAAACTCAACTTTACGACATATAAACCATAACATACTACACCTTACTAAGCCTTAATAAAGCATGAACAAAGACTTAATTAAGAATGATTCACGCTTAGTAAATGCTTAATAAAGCGTAATTCGTCTTCACTTTAGAAAAGACTTAACTAACAGATAACAGCCGCCTGAATGATCATTGCATTATTAGTAAATCATTCTCTCATGGCTTACTAATCATTAATAAATGCTCAAATGGTTAATTCATGAGTAATTAAGTATGAAATAATTATGAGTAACTATTTACAGCACAGGCAAATTAAGTGCAAGTGCTAATTAAGGTAGTAATTAAGTAGTTACTAAGCGTGAATCATTATTAATTAAGTCTTTGTTCATGCTTTATTAAGGCTAAATAAGGTGTAGTTATTATAAAGTGTTACCAGCCCGTTTGACGTTATAACGTGTTTCACTAGTAGGACCACGTCAACAACAACATAGTGCGAAGAAGTTTATTGATAATGTACGAAGCGGGGAGGAGATGTCTGGGTTGAGACTCTAGACTGGGGCTCCGTCTCAGTCTTCAGTTGGCCCAGCCGGGACAGGACCCCGCTTGTGACTAAAAGACGAACAAAGTAGGGTGTGGGAGGGTGGGGTCGAGTTCGCCGAGACAAACTGAGATGATGGGAAAGGCTGCTACGTACATACAGAATCCGTGTATCATTCGTTCATTCGTTTTTCAATATAAAACCAAAAATAAAAAAACGAAAAAACAACAGTTTTCTTCGTTATTTGTCTCCAAAACCAAAATGAAAAAACAGATAACGATTCGTTTTTTCAGTTTTCGATTTTGTGTTTAAATGAAGAATGGAAAAAACAGATAACGGCCGTTTCCCGTTTACATGACTTCTGTGACTGCGATGCCAGACTTTTGCACCGGGTACGGACTGAACCGGGACTGATCCAGGTCCGAGACCAGACCGAGACCAGAGCGGGACTGAGACCGGGACCAGACCGGGACCAGACCGGACTCGAGACTTTGACTCCGAGCTTTGACTCCGAGCCTCAGCTTCGAGCTCCGGCCCTGCCGTGGGCTCTGAGCCTCCGGTCTGGTCCCGGTCTGGTCCTGGTCTTGTCTCGGTCTCGGTCTCAGGCCCGCTCTGGTCCCGGTCTGGTCCCAGTCTCAGTAGCGCTCTGGTCCCGGTCTGGTCCCGGACCTGGTCCATTTGAACCAAAAGCTCTTAGTTTGATTCATTTTCGTTGGTGTGAATGCGTCAGTCGGAGGCTTTGCACCACCTCGGAACCAGCCGCGGTTCTTGAGCGCGGAGGACCAGAGCAGCTCTGTCCCGGTCTCAGTCCCGCTCTGGTCTCAGACCTGGATCAGTCCTGATTCAGTCCGTACCCGGTGCAAAAGTCCGGCATCGCAGTCACGGAAGTCACATAAAACGGGAAACGGCCGTTATCCGTTTTTTCCATTCTTCATTTAAACACAAAATCGAAAACTGAAAAAACGAATCGTTATCCGTTTTTTTCATTTTGGTTTTGGAGACAAATAACGAAGAAAACTGTTGTTTTTTCGTTTTCTTATTTTTGGTTTTATATTGAAAAACGAATGAACGAATGATACACGGATTATACAGGCTTCAGGGAAATTCGAGGCGTGGTCGAGGTGAGTTGTGGTTCGCTGGTGAGTGGAGAGGGCGGTTGAGGCACGGTCCTGCTCCTGAATCTCACTTACTCATATTAATACATTTAATGCAGCTTTGCACAAGTCTCACAGAAACAACACTTAAAACCGCATGGCTAAGTTGCATAAACTAAGCAGAGAAAAAAAAAAAACGCTCTTGTGCGCTGATGCAGTTCAGCTTCTGTCGGACTAAAGGACACGACTCAGTGGAATATGAGTGTTGTTTCTGTGACAGACGGGTGTGGATGCTGAAGGTGAGTCTGTTCTGTGTGTCGCGATGTTTTCAAAGATCAGATATGTGCAGGTTTCGCGCAGCTCTTTATGTTACAGTAACTGCGTTCACATGCAGCATGACGAAACCGGGACACTGATGTGCATGTAAACACTCTCACTGAGCGGTACAGTGTCTCCAAGGAGGAGCCAGAGCCCAAACTTGGACTGTGAGGCTGCAGCTCCAGTGTTTGTGTCAAACGCAGCTTCGTATCTACGCACAGAAACCTACATTCAGTTTGTCGATTAGAAATGAACGTAATCGACAAAATTCTTAATGATCAATTATCGATTAGTCGACTAATCATGCCCCTCCTGAGTCACAAACACATACCAAACTGAATTTGTGCAAAGAGCTGTATGACTTTCTTTAGGCAAAATTCACTTTTGCAAACACTGACGATTTAAACGATTAAATTTATTAAAAGTAGATTATTTGTTAGTGTCCCAACCACAAAAAAACTTATGTAATTTTTCTTCTTTGCTAAAAATGTTCCACAGTTTGGACTAAAACAATCAGAGTGAGTGTGACCGTACAGTGGCTTTAGAGCAGGGGTGGGCAAACTATGGCCCGGGGACCGTATGCGGCCCTTTAAACCTTTTAATCCGAACTGGAATAAATTACAATAATAAACCTTGTTGGTGTTTTATTTGTCATGCATTTCCGGCGTTTCCCAGTAGATGGCGCACTATATATACATTGAGTTGCGGCGTATTATGTTGGCCGCAATGCTTTATGGGAAAGTGTTCTTACAGGAGTTATTCGGACCATGAGTGAAGTAGTTGGTGCTTAAGATATAAGACTGTACTGGTTCCAGTTTGAGTTGGTTTAAATCGATCAAGGAAACCTGTGGATGTGTACAACATTTTGGAGTCAGGTTTTATCACACTCACAGGTGTGTGTCTGTGGTTGTTTGGCGTGAGCTTTGTTTTTAAGATGTTACCAGTCATATTCGAAAACGGTGAACTCACGATATACATTCACTCGTGTTGTGCAGTGGAACAGGTCTCAACAGTTTTATGTTCTGAATCTTTCACAGCAGTGATGAAACGTGTAGCGCGTCTGAAGTCCTAGATAAATGTGAATAAGAATGTAATGCAGGGGTGTCAAACTCATTTTGGTCCGGGGGCCGTATCCAACCGACTTTGATCCCAAAGGGGCCGGATCAAAAACTCATGTCATATAAACCCAAAAATAACAATAAGTTCAAATATTTGTGCAGAGAAACACAAATCTTTTACAGAAATCTTTGTGAATTGATGAACTCTTTCTTTTACAAAATATTATAATATTATGAACAACCTGAAACTTTAAGAAAAATGTAATTATAACACAATGTTTTAACATGAACGTGTTTAACATTAACTTGTATAAATAGGAATAAGTAAATTTTTGTTGTAAAATCCTGCACTCGGCTCCACTTTTCTCATGTTGGACATTTTTCTGATGAGGGTGTCACGGTCAACAGTCAAAACGATCGTCCTTTAAGAGCGTTTGGAAAGAGACAAGTCTTCATTTGTGCTGCTCTGGTGGGAGGGGCCACGTACAGAGACGCTGGAGACGCTGCTGTGATAAACACCACAGAAAATTAACAAGATTTTAATAAAAAATAGAATTAAAATATTTTAGTAGAAAATCAGCCGAGGGCCAGATTAAAGGTCTTGGAGGGCCGGATCTGGCCCCCGGGCCGCATGTTTGACACCTGTGATGCAATGAATCTGAGCTCTTAACACGTTATGTCCTGTCTTCTGTCCGGCCCTTCAGTCAAACTTTAGGACCCTATGTGGCCCGCGAGCCAGAAAGTTTGCCCACCCCTGCTTTAGAGTGTTGAACCTCAGCACCTTCTGGGATCCGACCTTAAGGGCCTCAAACCTCAGATCTAACTTGGGACGGTCCAACCACAGCTGTTAATTTGTCCGCTCATGTGTCTCTTAAACGCAGAAGACGTCTCCTCTCTGAACAAAACACATAACGTCTTTGATCTGAGATAAATAAGAGTTTAGTGAAGTGAGCCTGAAGTGATCCAAATCTGATTTTCTCGCCCCTATGCTCCTGTATCTGATCTTTTAATGACAGTCTGAACCACACAGATCTGATTTTTTCAAGTGTTTCCCAGGCCACTTACTCTATGTTCAGACTGCAGGGCTTAAGGCTCAATTCGGATTTTTTGTGAAATCCGATTTTTTTGCGATGTCGTTCACATTTCCGGTGAAACGTGACTTGTCTGTGATCTCCAGTGTGAACTTTAAACTCCCCAAAAGTGTCCCGCATGAGCACCGGAGGACACGACGACGTCACACACAGCGAGCGTGTTCAGAGTTTATGAAAGTCGCCTAAACTCTGGGCTCGTCTCCCAAAATCCGACTCAGTTGTTGTTGTAAAATGTTCAGGTTACACGTTCACGGTTGCTCCGTTTCTTTGAGTCTTTGACCTCCTTGTTTTTGTCTCGCAGGATCTTTATTTTTCGTTGCCGTTGGAGTCAGAACCGTCTGTAGCCGCGCTCGGACATTTCTTTGGCAGTCATTTAAAAAAACGCCCAATTCCGATAAGACTCCTCCAATTTGTCCTGAATACAGAGATCCCCCCCAAATATTAAAACACTCTTTAACCTCGTTTTCCCTCCATTGACGAGACTCTGAGCCTGACGTGTAGGTGGGATGAATGTGACCTGACCGTTCAGACTGAAGTCGCATGTCAAAAGATCGGATATGTATCGGTTTTAGGAGGAAATATCCAAGGTTACGTTCAGACTGCAGCCTGAAGTGACCCAAATCAGATTTTTTCGCCCCTATATCTGATCTTTTAATTAAAATTTTTTCAAATGTGACCCAGGACACTTGGATATGTGCTCCTGAAACCGATACATATCTGATCTTTTGACATGCGACTTCAGTCTAAACGGTCAGGTCACATTCATCCCACCTACACGTCAGGCTCAGAGTCTCGTCAATGGAGGGAAAGCGAGGTTAGAGAGCTTTATTCATATCTGGGGGGATCGCTGTGTTCAAGTCTTATCGGAACCAGGCGTTTTTTGAAATGATCGGCAAAGAAATGTCCGAGCCCGGGTACAGTCCATCCTGGCTCCAACGTCAACGAAAAATAAAGATCCTGCGAGACAAAACAAGGAGGATAAAGACTCAAACAAACGAAGCGGCCGTGGACGTGTAACCTGAACATTTTACCAACAACTGGACCGGATTTTGGGAGACGATCTCAGCGTTTAGGCGACTTCTGTAAACTCTGAGTGTGTGACTTCGTTGTGTCCTCCAATGCTCATGTGGGACACTTTTGGGGCGTTTAAAGTTCACACTGAAGATCACAAACAAGTCGCATTTAATTGGAAATGTGAACGACATTGCAAAAAAATACAAACTGAGCATTAAGCCCTGCAGTTTGAACAGAGCCTTAGTCCTCTGCATTATTTTTTCCCGTTTTCCCCAAATCAGCTTCAGTCTTTGTTTGTTTGGTCCCAGCATGTGTGGTTTTGGCTGGTCAGGTCTCTTATTGTTGTTGTTGTTGTTGTTGAAGTAGTAGCTGTACTTACTGTCGCGGGCCGAGGCGTCGCCTTTGTCCCCCTTCGGTCCAGGTTCCCCGGCAGTACCTGCACTCACACAGACATTACACTCACACTCAGAGCCTCATAGACCCTTAAGAGCCACGGCGAGAGATGGACCAAAGTAATTGAAGCAATATTAATCTTAGTTTTGTGGATAATATGTAAGATTGTTGAGAAATTCTTCTTGGTGGGGTAGATTTTAAAGTTCTTTCATTGGTTTATAAAGCTCTTAACGGTCTTTGTCCTGATCTGCTGTCATCATTCGTTCACACTAGTCTTTATTCGAGTCGTTTTCGTTGTGGGTGCAGTGTTCATTCACACTAATCCGATGGAAAACGGCTCCAGAGAAGGAACGATCTGGTGCCTCCAGCTCCCACGAATTCATCTGAGTGCAGATCTGGTCTGAAACGCTGGTCACAACGAAGTGCAGCACCGTGTCTGAAGTTGCAGCGGCCGATTTTGAGCCAAGGAACGTGGCGTGGTCTTTTCGTGGACCGACAACGAGGTTTGTTTAAACTGTTTTCCGCAATAGCATCACATGACCGATGTCACGAACCAAGAGAATCAGGAAGAAGCAAGTCACGGTGACGTGGTCCAATAAGGACGCGACTAGACTCCTGCATCAGAGTATCAGTGTTTTCAGGCGTCCACACGGTGCCGGATCAGATCTGTACTGTAGATGAATTCGTGGGAGCTGGAGGCACCAGATCGTTCCGTCTCTGGAGCCGTTTTCCATCGGATTAGTGTGAAAGAACACTGTATCCACAACGAAAACGACTCGAATATGTACTAGGCCTTAGACTCCATCGACGGATAAAATGACAAAACTAAAAAGGACCTACAGCTCTATAAAGGTTGAGCTTTGTACTTTTGCTGATGGAAACTAAATAAACACTAAACATAAAACAGATTAGATCTTAAAAGAATCTATGTATTCTAAATGTGGTTATAATATTGTACAGAAAGCGTAAAAAATGCATAAAGTGTTCACCGTTAATTCCTGGAGGACCAACAGGACCTGAAAACAAATACAGAAAACTTCTTAAAACTGTTTCATAGATTAAAATGTAAAATGTTTTATTATGACAATATATTATTAATGATTATTATTATTAGTCTGCTTTATTCATTGTTTAAAAGTCCTGTATTACACAAAATGAACTGTTGTTTCCTCCTCAAAATCAGACCTGGGTATCCGCAAATAGTTGCTAAAAAAGGCGGGTTTTAACGTTCTGGAATTTTACGGGCGAGTAGTGATCACACACGGGCGGGTCACGTGAATCAAATGAACAACGAACGGGAGAAAAATACTTGACGCGTGTCCAGGTCGTCCGTTTCCCTGGAAACACGAGCCACCTCCCGACTTTTCCCCAAACAATGGACCAGACTGAGAGAGACTTGAGTGTTTTTATTACATAAAAACCATCAGCGGAGATTGACTCGAAGTGTGTGCTCCTGGTTCAGTCCTGGTTTAGTCCTGGTTTAGAGCTGGTTTAGTCTTAAATCCTGGTTTAGTCCTAGTTTAGTCCTTAAATCCTGTTTTAGTCCTAGTTTAGATTTTGGTCCTTCAGTCCTGGTTTAGTCCTGGTTTAGACCTGGTTAAATCCTGGTTTAGACCTGGTTTAGACCCTTTTTAATCCTTACCTCTTGGTTTAGACCTGGTTTAATCCTTAAATCCTGGTTTAGTCCTGGTTCAATCTTGGTTTAGACCTGTTTACTCCTGGTTTAGACCTGCTTTAGACCTGGTTTAGTCCTGATTTAGACCTGGCGATCAGCTCTGCTGTTGCAGCGTGTATATATTTATAATCCACTAATGACATGGCATAAATTCAGTCCTGGTTCAGTCCTGGTTTAGTCGGACTAATGGGCTGACCCTGATTTATCACAAGCACGGGTGAGTAACGGGTGGAATATTAAAAGGTCCGGGCGGGTGCGGATTTAACTTTGATATAATCTGGGGTTAACGGGCGGGGGTGGTGCTGGACTGCGCGGGGTGCGGGTGTGGGCAGGTGCGGTGGAGGGTGTGGGCAGGTGCGGGGGTGGTGCTGGAGTGCGCGGGGGCGGGTGTTGGCAGGTGCGGGTCTCCACAAATGGACCCGTGCAGGACTCTGGAGGAAACAACATAATAAACAAACCTTTGGTTTAGGTCAGGTGTGTTTTACCTGGTGGTCCGGGTGGTCCGGCGTCTCCAGTGTCGCCCTTGTCTCCCTTTGGACCTGGGACTCCAGCGACCCCAGGATCTCCTTCACACACCACAACAGAAAACATGAGCAAACTGAACACGGCTGAATTTAAATCACAAAACAAAACACATGTGACAAATGTGGTGTAAAATCATGGCATCAGCAACCGTGATGTACCATGACGGACAAAACTCCTCTAATGCACACAGAGATTTTATGTGACAAATTTAAAAAAAAACGTATTACTGTATTTTTCGGACTATAAGTGTCACTTTTTTCATGGTTTGGGTGTTTCCGGTGCGACTTCTATATTAAAATGTTTTTGGTGAAGTGTGGAGAGGTTCTAGTCTTGTGTGTGAGTATCTGCTGCTCCTGTTCCTCCTGTACCACTGTCACTTGGCTCTACTGCGCATGTCTCCTGCAGAAAGAGCCTCTGTCCTGTCTGTATCATGTCAGTCGATCGCACCGTTACTTCTGCACCACTGAACAATTTAACATTTAAACAAACTTATAAAGACGACTGAGAAGACGGAACACAAATGCCCCCAGAAACAAAATCAGATTCTGCAGATTACAAACTGCAAGTCAGTGAAATCTGCAGCTGAAAACGGAAATCGAGCAGCAGAAAGAAAGTTTGGAGGTGAGAGAGAAACTTGTGACACCGGGAGGATGAACCATGAAACTTTCCTGAAGTCACTGGATGGATGGACAAAGCCTGGACTTCAGTGACACTGATACTGATAGATTGCCGATGGAGATTTCTAGGGGGACTAAAGACTGTGTACTGGGACGCTTCATCCAAACACTACTCCGGTCAGAGAATAAAACAGACACAGGAAAGGTATTTTGGAAGCTTTAATGTCCTATCTTCAATCTTTTAGCTGTTTGTTTGATTTCATCTGAACTATCCTTTCATCTGTCATAGACGCAGACTTAGATTAAGGTTGCACATGTCTCCTGCAGAAAGAGCCTCTGTCCTGCTGCAAGTCATGAAACATTCAGCCGAAAACGGAAATCGAGCAGCAGAAAGAAAGTTCGGAGTGAGAGAGAAACTTGTGACACCGGGAGGATGAACCATGAAACTTTCCTGAAGTCACTGGACGGATGGACAAAGCCTGGACTTCAGTGACACCGAAACCATCCTGTCGGGATTCAGAAAGACCCAATAATTCTAACTGGAACTGACGCTGAGTCTGACGACAGCGACGCAGAAGAGTTTGCGTCGCTCTGTTTACCTCCGGAGGTCGAGGCCGAGTTGTTCAGAAGTGACACCGAGGATGAAGAATTGAATGGATTTAGTGATTTGGAGTGAGATGGAGTTTGGTTAAACTTGTTCTGTTCTGTTGTTTATGTTATAGTTTATCTGAAGAACTGTTCATATGTGACGTTAACAGTCTGTTGTTCTCTCTTCTATTGTTATGACCAGAGGTGGGACCAAGTCTTTGTTTTGTAAGTCTCAAGTCTTTGACCTCAAGTCCGAGTCAAGTCACAGGTCAAATACAGGCAAGTCCAAGTCGAGTCTCAAATCACTGGTCCATAAGTCCAAGTCAAGTCCAAAACGTTCGCTTTGAGCCATTTCAAGTCTTTAAATCAAAGCTTTGATTTTTGTAATTTATATGATTTTTAAACCAAACAGCTGTAGAAATGTTCATTTTCCTTTTTACATGTATTGACAAGATCTTAGAGTGAATCTTTACAGTCAGAACACAAAGAATTCAGATTTAAAAGAGCTTCTCAAGTCCGAGTCAAGTCCCAAGTCACTGACCTTCAAGTCCCAATCGAGTCCCAAGTCTTAGTCCACTTTATCAAGTCAAGTCTCAAGTCCTAAAAATAGTGACTCAAGTCTGACTTGACTCCAGTTCACAACTTGAAAGCCCTCACCTCTGTTTTTTACTACAACTTGACTTTCAACAGGAAATGTCGGTTCCTGGTCTCTGATTTTATAAAATAAATTTCACCCAAAAAGTGCGACTTAAATATGTTTTTTTTTTCTTCATTATGTTTTTTTGTCTGGTGTGACTTATACTCCAGAGCGACTTATAGTCCAAAAAATACAGTATATTTACAACAGGTATTATCTCACCAAATTAAGACAAAACACTTTTGACAAATGTGCACAGACCTTTTTGTCCTGCCTCTCCTGCGTCACCTTTGGGGCCTGCAGTCAAAACACAGGGAAAAGTTATTTACATATAATTTGAAAACACCAAAAAAGCTCCTAAAGGGGAGAGTCTGGGTGTGTAAGGAACAGTGTGACTGGTCTAACCACACAAACCAAACACACACACACAAAAAAAAAAAGTAGTTTGAAGGTTTAGTTCCGAAGCCACATCAAAATAAAACCAGTGAATCCATGTAAACGTCAAGATGATCAGACCTGGTTCTCCGGGTTCTCCCTTTGCTCCAGGTCCTTGACCACCAGCAGAACCCGCGGGACCTAAAACACGAGACACAAACACAAAAAACGTGACGATTTTATTTGTATCAGAAAAATGTGTTTCGTGTGTGTAAATTTTGCTGAACTTTTAGACAAAATTTTCCCAGTGTGTAGGGGGACCGGGCGTTTCTATTTACCCAAAACAGCTCCAGTTTTGAGTTTTGTGTCTTCTGTCCAAGCAGATTTATACAAAACCAGTGATTTGTCCCAGTTTTATACCAGAAATATTTCTATTTTTGAGTAATTTGATACCCGCTTACAGTTTAAAAAAAAAAAAAAACATGACGATTTTCTTCAGATAAATCACGTAATTAAAACTATGGCTTAAAGCTGCATTGCGTAACTTTTCAATTGGGGGTCCGTCACCTTCTTGTTTCTATGGAAATCTCTCTGCTGTGTCTGGAATGTTCCGCAGTGTGACATTAAACAGCTCTACTTTACGTTTACTCAATTACAGGTGGTTTTAAAGCTCAAAAATACCTTTAAAAACCATCCAACAGACACTGAAAACGAACATTTGTGAGTAAAAACGCAGTCATAAAATGTAAAAAAAGATTAATTAAAGCTGCATTGTGTAACTTTCCAAATATCTTGACATTTATTCAATTACAGGTGGGTTTAAAGCGCAAAAATACCTAGAAAAACAACATTCTGACTGTGAGCGGGGTCGCCTCTCCACAGATCTGACCTGTAACTTGGTCCGGCTTGGTCTCAGGGAAGATGGAAAGGTTTAATGCCATACTGTGGAACATTCCAGACAAAGCGATAACATCTCCATGGAGAAAAGCGTTTGACGGACCCTCTACCAGAAAAGTGCCTATGATGTTCTGTTTTCTATATTTAAGATTTTAATGCAAATTTGACATTTTCTTCCCCCAGTTTGGTCAATTTTCAGGTTTTAAAATTGTATTTCTTGGTTGGAAATCATGACATCACGCTATAGGGAATTCCACAACTGTTACCTAGAAACCATCTTGTAAACTGGACAAAATCTCCTCCTACAGAGCTTTTGCACTACGGCCGGAAGTGCCGCGATGTAGGTTCACAAAACTCCTGGTTAATGTTTTTCTGTGGCAAAATATCTGTGTAAATGTGTCGTATTTTCCAGCAGTTTCATAAATCTGCCCCATCACCAAATCTTCAACCAACAAGCTCCACAAAGGATAAACATTCTAACATGAACAATTTATTATTATTTATTTAAGAATTTAGACGAAAACTTAAAGGAAGAACAATGACGACGAACAAAACGTGAATCATGAATCATGTTTACACGAGAACGCTTGTGGGTAAAAACGACAAAATATTTGATCAGAAGTGCCTTCTGTTTAGACGGTGACGGCGTTTTTGGGGTTTCAAAACGCTAAAATCTGAACCCAGCCTCCAGAGTGGAAAAGTTGAACACACTCCGCCGTAGCGTTTCTGTCTACACTGCCCAAGACGCAAAACTCTAGTCCGATCTGCTCACGTCGTGTACACGTTTATGTCACATACATCACCGCCTGGCATGCAAACACAATCGAATTCCACACACATTTGCGTCATCGTATGCACGCAGATTTCCTCCTGAAAACGCTCGACTAAACGCGGAATAAAAAGTGAAGACGCGACAGGCACTTTTGCGTCTTCTGTTCAGACCGTCAGCGTATAAACGTAGCCTAAAACAGATTCTAGAATTAAAGTTAAAAAATCTATTTCCTGATGTCAGTATTAACATAGACAGAGAGATTTTTGCAGTTCTGTAAACTGTGAACGTCTATAGCATTTAAACTGCACAAATCTCTGTGTCTATGTTAATATCGACATCATGAAATCGATTTTTAGTTAACAAGTTGCTTATTACGGAATCACTAATTACTTCTGTTTAATTCATGATCATAACATTAGTTTTGTTCATTGTGTCATTAAAGCGTCGTCGTTGTTTCCTTTAAGTTTTTGTCTTTCGTCTCTTGATAGTTGTGGATAAATTGTTCATGTTAGAATGTTTATCGTTTGTGGACCTTGTTGGTCGAAGATTTGGGCTACGTTTACACTGAAACGAATCACCGTATCACCGTATCGGAAACGATTTTCATCCAGACACGTCGTTTCTGTGTCCGCAAGTCTTCCCTGTCCACACAGCTTTGAGCACATTTGTTTACGTTTTACAGAAATTAAACTTAAAACCACATGACTCATTTGCATAAACTAAGTGCTGAAAAAACTCGCTCCTTGTGCGCTGATGTGGTTCAGCTTCTGTTGGACTAAAGGACACGACTCAGTGGAATATGAGTGTTCTTTCTGTGACAGAGGGGTGTTCTGCTGATGGTGAGTCTGTTCTGTGTTTCTGTCGAGTTGGAGATGGTTCATGTTAAACTTTTCAGAGATTATACGTCTGCAGGTCGTCCACACAGACACACGTTTATATGAATGGACAAATATTCTAGCCTCTTTGTCTACGTTCAGACTGCAGGGCTTAACGCTCAATTCAATTAAATTTTTTTTTTGAAATCCGATTTTTTTTGCGAGGTCGTTCACATTTCCAATTAAATGTGACTTGTATGTGACTCCAGTGTGAACATTAAACGGTCCCAAAAGTGTCCCACATGTGACACTGGAGACACGACGACGTCAACCGCAGCGAGCGTCTCTGTGTTTACAGAAGTTGTCCAAACATGGACGCAGCATCGAGCACCTGGAGATTTTAAAGTTCCTCTCGTACCGGAGCCAGAACATGAACAACTTACTTGTTTTAAGGAGGAGATTGAGAAGGAGAAGGACGAGGTTTTTTGGTCGTGGTGTTTTGTGGTTCAGTCCGTTGAAAGGAACGTGTGGATGTGGAGACGGAGCCAAGAGTGGTGAGTGGTGATGTGCTTCACTTCAGTGACACGGAGTTCATTAACAATTTTCACCTACTTCAGCGCAGAATAGTGACGTTTGTGTCTTGTTGATAACGTGTAGGTGGATGAATGCACTTTGACCGTTCACACTGAAGTCACATGTCAAAAGATCAGATATGTATCAGTTTCAGGAGCACATATCCAAGTGTCCTGGGTCACATTTGAAAAAATCGGATCTGTGTCGTTCAGACTGACATTAAAAGATCAGATACAGGAACATAGGGGCCAAAAAATCAGATTTGGGTCACTTCAGGCTGCAGTCTGAACGCAGCTTTAGTGTTCTGGTGGTGAATTACTTCGCGGTGCACAGATCTACATCAGATTATCAGTGTTTTCAGGCGTCCACACGGTGCCGGATCAGATCTGTACTCAGATGAATTCGTGGGAGCTGGAGGCACCAGATCGTTCCGTCTCTGGAGCCGTTTTCCATCGGATTAGTGTGAACGAACACTGCATCACAACGAAAACAACTCGAATACGAACTAGTGTGAACAGGACCTTGGTGATGGGGCAGATTAATGAAGCTGGTGGAAAATACGACACACATTTCCACAGATATTTCACCACAGAAAAGCATTAACCGGGAGTTACGTTTACTTCCGACTGTTGTGAAAAAGGTCTATGTACACAGAAATTATTATTTGACAAATACAAATATAATTATTTGAAATCACATTTAAAGTATCAGAAAAAATGTGTGTAAGTTTTGCTGAACTTTTGGACAAAATTCTCCCAGTGTGTAAGGGGACAAGACGTTCCTATTTACCCAAAACAGTCCCAATTTTGACTCCTATGTCTCCTGTCCCAGCAGATTTATACAAAACCAGTGATTTATCCCAGTTTTATACAAGAAATATCCCTATTTTTTAATAATTTGATACCCGCTTACAGTAAAAAAAATAAAATAAAAAAAAGAGGCAGAAATTTTCACTTGCTTATGTAAAATACAGAAAATCGAACGCTCTATTTTCTGTAATTTTCAACAAATTTTTCAGCTTGTCTTCGCAAACTGCTTCTTAATTTCTGTAAAACTATAATTTATATTTACAACAGGTATTATCCCACCAAATTAACCACAAATTAATGAATCATCAGAAACTGTCACGCGAACTTTTATCGCAAAGTCAGCAGAGTCAGCAGCTGACTCAGGCCTTTGAACAGGAACAGAAAGTGGTTTAGGTTTTATATTTATATTTATATTTTCTGACTCGACTTCATAATTTTGTCTTTTACAGAAGTGAAACCTCTGGGTGTTGTTTGGTTTTGTACTTGGAAGTGGAGCTTGTCCGGGGTGGGTAGAAAAGCCACAGAAATGATAAAAGTTGACCTTAAAATAACTTGAGGAGTTAATAATAGGCTGTGTCCAAAAGTCCACCCTAGTCCCGCTTCATTCACTACATAGGCCTGCGCTCACTCTTTAGCGCCCCCTACAGTGCGATTCGGACACGCAGCTCACGACATTCAGGCGACGTGACTCTGGCGTCTGGGTAGGGCTGAACGATCTGTCGTTTTGGACCGAAAATCGCGATCTCAGGGCCTGTTTATACAAGAACGCTTGAGGGTAAAAACGACAAAATATTTTATCGGAAGTGGAAGTTTCGTTTAGACGGTGACGGTGTTTTTGGGGCTTAAAGGTTGTATGGAGGATTTTTTTTTTTAGTTTCAAGTTCAGTGAAAGTTTAAAATACCAATACAGAGACGCAGCAGCCTTGTAATTATGATGACCAAAAAAAGAAAAGAATGAAAATCTATCAACCGTGGATGTAGTGAGGCCAGAGAAACATCAGCCAATAGAAAACGAGGCTCCCTCATTTTCTATTGGCTGTTAGGTTGTCAGTCAAACTCCTTCTGTTTTTAGTGTAATTGACTTGCCGGTGCACAGGGATTTCACGGTTTATGCAGCGGTTCTTAGAGGATTTTTTAAACTGTCGCTTCCTCGCAGTTCGCACAAAGTTTGTCGCGATGGCGGACGAGAATCCACGAGCAGTTCGCCGCTAAAGAAAGTCCGTTTTTGAGGTCGCTGAAAGAAGAAGAGAAGTGGAAAAGGAGCGAAGACAAACGGAGGTGATTCTTGGAGATTTCTTTCAGCGATTGCGCGAATGAAGCAGACGAAGGGTCTAAAAACTGACACGTTGGTCACTAAATTATTTCTAGACAAGTCACTTCAACGGTAATTCTGAACGTGCACTGGCTGTAAACAAACGTGATTTCTAGAGTAAAGAGGTGGGAGGAGATGTTTCTACTGAGGCTGTGGAGGAGGAAGGTGGTGTCACACATGCACAACGTTTGAAAAACGACTGTCGCTGTATTTCTTTTCCCTTAAAAAATCCTCTATACAACCTTTAAAAACGCAATAATCTGAAACCACCCTCCAGATTGGAAAAGTTGAATACGCTCCGCCGTAGCGTTTCCGTCTACACTAGAGTGACGAAATAACGTTTTTTCCCAGGACATGTCCGTTTTTCATGTACTGTCCTGGCCGTCTGGGTTTTTTTTTGGTTTTTTTTTTAATTGATGCAAATATCTGGGTTTTCATGATCTTTCACTGGGGACATTAAATTGAGCTTCTCTTGTGGCTCTCTGTAACTCAGAAGACGCGAGCAGACACAAACAGTCGGTCAGTCTTCAACATGTCGAAGCACAAATGCGCATTTAACGATGACTTGCACAAGAAATTCCCCGCTTTCCATCCTGGTCGGGACAAGTGGGAGGCCATGTGCACAGTATGCAACGCAGGCACAGCTTTTGCAAGGTGAGAGTAGCTCAATGTTGAGGCCCCACCCCCGGTAAGGTGTCCGGGTTTTCACAACGGAAATGTTGTCACCCTAGTCTACACCGCCCAAGACGCAAAACTCTGGTCAGATCTGCTCAGGTCGTGTACGTGTTTACGTCACATACATACAGTACACAGAAACACGTCACCATATGCACTCGTCTAAACGCGGAATAAAAAGTGAAGACACTGCGCCACTTTTGCATCTTCTGTTCAGACCGTCGTCATATAAACGTAGCCTCAGACAACATGATTTAGAGACCCTCAAAGCCATGTTTTTTTGCTATGCCCCTAAAGCCCAATTTAAGGGCAAAGTTTAGTTCTGCGTTGACTCAACACACATTTTCGCCGTTGCCTTGTTGCCATCAGTTTTGATTTATGAATCTGCGCAGAGGTCTGTGCGCCGCAAAGTGATTCACCGCCACAACGCGAGGAGGCGACTGTTTAAAGCTGGCGTCTGTGTAAAGTTTCACATGAACCATCTCCAACACGACAGAAGCACAGAACAGACTCACCATCAGCAGAACACCCCTCTGTCACAGAAAGAACACTCATATTCCACTGAGTCGTGTCCTTTAGTCCGACAGAAGCTGAACCACATCAGCGCACAAGGAGCGAGCGGAGGAATATGAGTGTTCTTTCTGTGACAGAGGGGTGTTCTGCTGATGGTGAGTCTGTTCTGTGTTTCTGTCGCGTTGGAGATGGTTCATGTGAAACTTTTCAGAGATTATACGTCTGCAGGTCAAATTTTGATTTAAAGTTACTTTTATTCAACCAGCAAGTTTTTTCTTGATTGGAAATGACACGGGCATCTCCCAGAAGATAATAAGACGATAATAATATCATAATAAAACTCTTCCCTGTCAGTGGGTGTCCAGTATTTGTCATCTTGGTCACTTTCTCGTACGCAGAGCTCCGCATAAGTGTTTGTTTCTGTAGCGATTCTGTCATACATCTCGTCTTGGAAAAAAAGGACTGAAATATTTCAAAGCAACATGATCATAATCGAGTATAAAATCCCGGATAGTTTGTTGGGATATCGCAGGACTCCATACAGACGCATCAGCGACATTCTCCCCTTTATAAGTTTCACTCTCCGAAAGTCCATCGTTACATCGAACAGCCTGTATTCCACTGAGTCATGTATTTTAATCCGACAGAAATTGAACCACATCAGCGACACAAGAGCTGTTTTTTTATCTTCACTTAGTTTATGCAAATTATTGATGCGGTTTTAAGTTTTGTTTCTGTGAGAGTTGAACAAAACTGAATTAAACACATTATAATGTCAAACGAGCTGATGTGGCTCTAGAGTCGTTACGGTTTATATGTCGTAAAGTTGAATTTATTTATGCAGATTAGTGCAGATAGTAATAATAATGATGATCATTTTAATATAAAAACATTAATGATTAATCGAGGGTGACCATATTTACGTTTGTGAAAACACGGACACCTTGGGGGGGTCTCACCGTTTCTCAGATTTTTTTTGTGTGTAATTTTTTACAGCATATGAACGCATATTGTGTATTACACTCGGGTAATAATTACACACGGGTGAGTCATGACTAAACCAGGTCTAAACCAGGACTAATCTTGGACTTAAGAGAGAAAACGCCGAGCAGTTTGTCCGCAAAGCGCGATCGGGCAATTGCCGAGTTTAACTCCGTGAGGTGCGGAGCTGAGCCGGTCCTTTCTCCTGCGTCACCTCCGAGCCCGTCCTGACACTGAGTCCTGTTTCAGTCCTGGTTTAGTCCTGTTTTAGTCCTGGTTCAGTCCTGGTTCAGTCGTGGTTCAGTCCTGGTTTAGTCCTCCTCTTCAGTTCTGGAATCAGTCCTGGTTTAGTCTTGGTTCAGTCCGTGGCGTAGGCAGCGCAAAAGTTTGATATAATCTCAGGTTAACGGGCAGGTGCGGTCCTGTTCTGGGGTCTCCAAAAATGGACCCGTGCAGGACTCTGCGCTGTCGGGCTCCATTACGGAATAAATGAATCTTCAGTTTGTTACATAAAGACGGAGGAAAATAACAAAAGGACGACAGCAGCAACAAGTTTTAAGAAGGAAGTAAAAAGAGTTGCACCTGTCGTGTCTGAGGAAAGTGTATAAAGTTTGTGCTGAGGGGTTTTACAGATAGAATAAATGTAAAATATAAAGTTGACGACTTCACGGATTTCACCTATTGCGGGTTATTTTTAGAACATAACCCCCACGATAAACGAGGGACACTGAACTCTCACCTCTCAACCTGTGCACATGGACTCACACTTGACACGACTGGGACAGAAAACTAGAATTTCTTGTACAAGTCGTTGTTAAATGTGCATTTGTGCTTCGGTATGTTGCAGACTGACCGACTGTTTGTGTCTCGCTCCTTCTGAGTCACAGACGCTATGAGAGACGCTCAGTTTAATGCCCCCAGTGAACTGTAATGAAAACCCGGACATTTGCATCACTTTAAAAAAAAAAAAACGAACGCCCCGGACAAGACGCAAAATACGGACATGTCCTAGGAAAAACGGACGTTTGGTCTCCCTAGATTAATCGATAATCAATCGTTAATTCTTCCGGCAATCGATTAAGAAAATTTCATCGAATGCCCATCCCCAGTACGAATGACACGCGGATCCTGGAGCATGCTAATCTTGTTTTGCCGTCGCTGATAATAAAAACAGTGCGGCTCTTACTGTATAATGGAGTCAGGTGCTTTACATTTCACATACGGAGCACATATTATCATGCAGTGTTAATGGCAGCTCACCGGGGGGTCCTTGGGGTCCAGGTGGCCCTGCGAAAAACAAAACAGAATCCATTACAGACTTTCACCTCGAACGGAAACGGCCCCTCACCCTCACACTCCGGAGACGTCACCGCTCTGCCTGGAATGTCCCGCAGTGTTGACTTTAAACAGCTCGACTTTACGTTTATTCAATCACAGGTGGATTTAAAGCTCAAAAATACCAAGAAAAACAAACATTCCGACTGTGTGCGGGGTCGCCTCTCCGCAGATCTGACCTGGAACTTGCTCTGGTTTGGGCTCCGTGAAGATAGAAAGGTTTAAAGTCATACTGTGGAACATTCCAGACAAAGCAGGAACGTCTCCAGGGAGATAAACATTTCATAGAAACCTTTAAGTCATAAAATAAACAAATTAAAACTGAAGTAAAGCCTACGTGACAAAAAAGCTTCATGTCAGGAGGGTCGAGCAGCATCATTCGTTTTTCTTTGTATTTTCTTCATTATTTGTCTCCAAAACCAAAATTTTAAAACAGATAATGAATCGTTTTTTCAGTTTTCGATTTTGTGTTTAAATTAAAAGTGGGGAAAAAAACAGATAATGATCATTTACGTCACTTAAACTGCGATGCCGGACTTGAACCAGGACTAAACCAGGACTGAACCAGGTCTAAACCAGGACTGAACCAGGACTAAACCAGGACTAAACCAGGACTGAACCAGGACTGAACCAGGACTAAACCAGGACTGAACCAGGACTGAACCAGGCCTAAACCAGGACTAAACCAGGTCTAAACCAGGACTAAACCAGGTCTAAACCAGGACTAAACCAAGTCTAAACCAGGTCTAAACCACGTCTAAATCAGGTCTAAACCAGGACTAAACCAGGACTAAACCAAGTCTAAACCAGGTCTAAACCAGGTCTAAACCAGGACTAAACCAGGACTAAACCAAGTCTAAACCAGGTCTAAACCAGGTCTAAACCAGGACTAAACCAGGACTAAACCAGGTCTAAATCAGGTCTAAACCAGGTCTAAACCAGGACTAAACCAGGACTAAACCAAGTCTAAACCAGGTCTAAACCAGGTCTAAACCAGGTCTAAACCAGGTCTAAACCAGGTCTAAACCAGGTCTAAACCTGGAGTAAACCAGGTCTAAACCAGGCCTAAACCTGGAGTAAACCAGGTCTAAACCAGGCCTAAACCTGGAGTAAACCAGGTCTAAACCAGGTCTAAACCAGGACTAAACCAGGACTAAACCAGGTCTAAACCAGGTCTAAACCAGGTCTAAACCAGGACTAAAACAGGACTAAACCAAGTCTAAATCAGGTCTAAACCAGGACTAAACCAGGACTAAACCAAGTCTAAACCATGTCTAAACCAGGAACCAGGTCTAAACCAGGTCTAAACCAGGTCTAAACCAGGTCTAAACCAGGACTAAATCAGAACAGTTTCCAGGACCGAACCATGACTGAACTACGACTAAAACAGGACTAAACCAGGACTGAACCAGGATTATACCAGGTCTAAACCAGGTCTGGTATCACAGTTTAAGTCACGTAAACGGGAAACAGTCATTTTCCGTTTTTTTTTTTTTCCATTTTTTCATTTAAACACAAAATCAAAAACTGAAAAAACAAATCATTATCTGTTTTTTTCATTTTGGTTTTGGAGACAAATAATGAAAGAAAATATATATTATTTTTTTTTTCTCATTTTCTTATTTTTGCTTTTATTTTGAAAAACGAATGAACAAAAAACACACGGATTTGTTGAGGATAAATCTGTTCGAGATCTAAACTCAGACCAGTGGACGTGAACCGGAGGAGCAAATCTGCAAAATAACGTCCTGAAACTAAGCGATTAAAGATCCCTTAAACATGTACGTGAATCATTGTCGCTGTTTCTGTTTAACATTAAAACATCTTACTTCTGCGTGTTTGAACTGAGATTGTCAAATTTTGTGAATAAACATTAAGACATAAGTTACAAAAAACAAAAAAACATGCACAAATCACTCCAAATACAACTTCGAGATGTTAAATGAGAAGGGAAACAACTATAATATGGTTAAAAGCTCTGAAACGTCTTGTGTTCTTTGAGTGTTTATTCATTCTTAGCATGACTCGGCAAAAACCTCGACAGGAAGAAGTGACTCAAATGGTGAACTGTCCACGCGCTGCGCTCAGAGTTTATTGGAGGAGAAGACGAAGGAGGAAGCTGCAAGTTACGATTGTGTAAGAATGGAAATTGCCTCTAGTCTAATGTTACACAATAAGTGTTTTTAGACAGCAGTGTTCTGCTTAAAATCATTTTCCGATCGTTTTGTGGGACCAACAGTTAATCGGGCTGTAATAGAAATAGGTAATAGATTGGACAAATCAGTGATGACCAGCCTGACCAGCGTGTTAAAACAAAGAAACACAACAGATAAAAAATCAGTGTCATTCGTTCATTCGTTTTTCAATATAAAACCAAAAATAAGAAATCGAAAAAACAACAGTTTTCTTCATTATTTGTGTCCAAAACCAAAATGAAAAAACAGATAATGATTTGTTTTTTCAGTTTTCAATGTTGTGTTTAAATGAAGAATGAAAAAAAAAAAAAAAGGGTAACGGCCATTTACGTGACTTCTGTGACTGCGATGCCGGACTTTTGCACCGCGTACAGACTGAACCAGGACTGATCCAGGTCCGAGACCACACCAAGACCAGACCAGGACCACACCGGGACCAGGGCGGGACCAGGGCGGGACCAGGGTGGACTCCGAGCTTTGACTCCAAGCCTCAACTTCAAGCTCCGGCCCTGCCATGGGCTCTGAGCCTCCATTCTGGTCCTGGCCTGGTCCCGGTCTCAATTACGGTCTCAGTCCCGCTCTGGTCCCGGTCTGGTCCTGGTCTGGTCTCAGTCTCAGTCCCGCTCTGGTCCCGGACCTGGTCCATTTGAACCAAAAGCTCTTAGTTCTGTTTGTTTTCGTTGCTGTGAAAGCGTCAGTTGGACTCGGACCAGCACCAAATCAAACGGACCGAGACATCAAACAAGAGGTGGTCTCGGTTCACTTGATTCCGCACCAAATACCAAATTTTGGTGCGGTTCCTCTGGTGTGAACACGAACTCGGGTCGAAACTAGAGACAGCAGGACCAAACGAACTATTCCAACCAGCGGGAGCAGCTCCGGTTCTGTCCGGGCTCAGAGGAGCTGGAGCGGGGAGTGATGTCAGGAGCCTCGGCCTGAGAAGAACTTTCCCCAGGGAAGAACCAAATGCACAGAGGACGAACCAGCAGCAGTTCTTGAACTTTAACTTCTTGGGTTCTTTTTAAAGACAATACAGTAAAGTGTGTTTACCTTGTTGACATGTTTCGGCTGCTGCTGCAAGCATCTTCAGAAGTGTCACCGGTGTTGGTGTTGACGTGTCGTAGATCAGCTGTTGTTACTTCCTGTGGGCGTGGTCAGACCTGATGGACCTGCAGGTCGCTCAGACTGGCCACGCCTCCCGTCGCCCGGTGTCTCTGGAGGAGGGTGTCCCAGGTGTGTGAAAGGAGGAACGCGCCGTCATCTCGGTTAATCCTGTCTGTGCCTCGTTTCCTGATTTCACCGTCCTCCTTGATCCAGCGTTTGAACTTGTTGTTTTCCGATCCAATGACCTGAGCCCCGTCCCAATCCATAATGTGGCGCAGAGGACCAGAGCAGCCCGTCTGACCTGTAGTCCACAGCACATTCTTGCTTTCCCCGCACGGAACCAGCGCGCAGACGATGACACGCAGCCGCTCGGACTGCTGGTCCCGGTCTCAGTCCCGCTCTGGTCCTGGTCTGGTCCCGGTCTGGTCTCGGACCTGGATCAGTCCTGGTTCAGTCCGTACGAGGTGCAAAATTTCGGCATCGCAGTCACGGAAGTCACGAAAACGGCCGTTATCAGTTTTTTCCATTTTTCATTTAAACACAAAATCAAAAACTGAACAAACAAATCATTATCTGTTTTTTCATTTTGGTTTTGGAGACAAATAATGAAGAAAACTGTTGTTTTTTCGTTTTCTTATTTTTGGTTTTATATTGAAAAATGAATGAACGAACGACACACTGATTCAGACATTATGCAGAACTCAGTTTTAAGTATTTTGTCCTTCCACAAAATTTTCTGTTTCTCATGAGGCCCCATGGAAAAAAATACACTATTTTCCAGACTATTGAGTGCACCTGAACATACGCCGCATCAACTAAATTTCATCAAAATTTTAATTGTACATACATAGGCCGCACCTGAATATAAGCCGCAAGTGTCTGCATCTTCAAGAACGTTTTCAAGTTCAGGCGTCTGCTTTTATCATCTCTGAAAGTTTTTGTCGTGTTTTTGCGTTGAGTCAGTTCGTCACTTCAAAATCTCACCACCGACTCAGTGACGCCGAGTTCACGTGCAGCAGCAGCAGCAGCAGCAGCTCTGTTTCCTTCTTCCACAGATACATCAGTCTGGTTCAAAACACAATCGAACGAGCATCTTCCTTCCCTCGTCTCCCCCCGCGCTCTACTGCGCATGTCTCCTGCAGAAAGAGCCTCTGTTCTGTCTGTATCATGTCAGTGTCTTGGAGCATTTCAGCAGATTTCAGACTCTCTCGGGGTCTACGTTAGTTCTATCAATCAGGTCTGAGTGTGACGTTCAGCTACTGAATTTTGAGACGTTTCTTCTCGTCATTTACACACAAACTATTTGAGTGCACTGACAGTATCACGAGCGAGTGTGGAAACTTCACGTGAACCTTAGATCCATGTGTTTTCTGCTCTCAGGCTGCGAGTATCCACTGTGTTTCCAAACCATAGACCGTAAATATGAAAGAGCAATGTGCCAAACAAAAAATCCGTCCATATATTCGCCGCACGGTTCAGAAAGTGTGAGAAAAAAGTTGCAGTTTATAATCCGGAACTTACGGTAACTGCCCACCCCTGCCGTACACTATAGACTTTCAGTGTAGACTTAATGTACTCATCTATAACTTTAACTACCAACAAAACAAATGCAGATTGATTTTTAGTACTTTGATGCAATTCTAAATATAGGTTAACAAAAGTCTTTTTAACTCACCTTGTTCTCCTTTTGTCCCTGTAGATCCAGCGTCACCTGCACACAGCACAGAATTTTATTTACCGACTGTCGTATGTTAAGATTAGTTTTCACTTTCCCCAAGCGTTTTTAACATGTTTAAATATTTTTTTTTTATTTAAATGTTCTTTTTTTCTCATGTGACTAGCCACTGTGTACCATTTGACAAGATAAATGCCACTTAAAGGTTGTATGATTTTTTTTTTTTTCAGTTTCAAATTGTCAATGAAAGTTTAAAATACCATTACAGAGCTGCAGCAGACTTGTAATTATGATGACCAAAAAAAAAAAAAGAATGAAAATCTATCAACTGTGGACTTAGTGAGGCCAGATAAACATCGGCCAATAGAAAACAAGGTTGCCTCATTTTCTATTGGCTGTTAGGTTGTCAATCAAACTCTCTACGTTTCCAGGGTAACTATGCAGCGGTTCTTAGAGGCTTTTTCTACTTGTAGCTTCCTCGCAGTTCGCACAAAGTTTGTTGCGATGCCGGACGAGAATCCACGAGCAGTTTCTCCGCAAAAGAAAGTCAGTTTTTGAGGTCGCTGAAAGAAGAAAAGAAGGAGAAAAGGAGCGAAGACAAACTGAGGTGGTTCTTGGAGATTCCTTTCAGCGATTGCGCGACTGAAGCAGACGAAGGGTCTAAAGACTGAGGTGTCGGTCTCCAAATGATTTCTAGAGGAACATTTGAAAAAGGCCTGTCGCTGTATTTCTCTTTCCTTAAAAAATCCCCTATACAACCTTTAAAGGCAAGGCAAGGCAAGTTTATTTGTATAGCACAATTCGTACACAAAGTAATTCAAAGTGCTTTACAGAATAAGAAATACATTAAAATCATAATAAAAACAAATCAAAACATAAATAATCATGAAGATTAAAAGTAAAAAAGAGAGACATAAATTGGAGAGAAGAGTGCGGAATGAAAACCTTTCAGTTATTTGCACAGTTAAACAGAAATGTTTTGAGTCTGGATTTAAACAGCGTCACAGAAGAGTCTGTCTCACATGTTCAGACTGTTCCAGGTTTTAGCTGCATGAACCTGAAACTCTGACTCCCCTTGTTTAGTCGTGACTCTGGGCACCAGCAGGAGTTGGTCCCTGAGCTCCTCAGAGTGTGAGATGTTCATATGACACTAACATGTCACAGATGGACTTTGGTGCTCGGCCATGGAGACACTTGTACAAGCAGAGCTGCTTTAAAGTCTCTGAGCCACAGGAGCCAGAGCAGAGACCTGAGCACAGGACTTATGTGCTCGTACTTCCTAGTTCGAGTAAGGACCCGAGGTGCACTGTGTAACTTTTCTGGTACCTTGTTTCCACGGAGAGGCGTCGCAGTATGACATTAAACTCATTCATGCTGCTTTTATTCAATTACAGGTGTTTTTACTGCTCAAAAATAATGATTGAAGACTGTAAAGCTGCACCGTGGAACGTTCCGGGCGGGTTAAAAAGCGTCGCACTGACCGCGGGTGAAAGGAAAGTCGTAATTCCAGCTGACCTATCGAGGCGGCGAGTGAGACGGAGCCGACGGTCTGAGGGAAATGTCAGCGCTCCTCATCCATCAGCTGCTCCTCATCCATCAGCTGTTCTCATCAGAGGAGGACGAGAGGAGGACAGGAGCCGATCATCACCGCCATCGTCTCAGCACGCCAGCGGAAATATAATGTACCACAAAGGATGGCGCTCCCGGTTTACACGCGCGGCTCGGTCTGACACGCACGGGGGTTTTGTTTTTTTAGAATTTTTGGTCGAAGGAAATGCAGTGTTAGAGCAGTCGGTCCGGACAGCGTGTGTGGTGTATGTGGCAGAGAGTCCTGTTCCAGCTGAAACCAGGACTAAACCAGGACTAAACCAGGACTGAACCAGGACTAAACCAGGACTAAACCAGGACTAAACCAGGACTAAACCAGGACTAAACCAGGACTGAACCAGGACTAACCAGGACTAAACCAGACTAAACCAGGACTAAAACCAGGACTGAACCAGGACTAAACCAGGACTGAACCAGGAACTAAACCAGGACTAAACCAGGACTAAACCAGGAAAACCAGGACTAAACCAGGACTAAACCAGGACTAAACCAGAACTAAACCAGGACTAAACCAGAACTAAACCAGGACTTAACTACACCTAAACCAGGACTAAAACAGGACCAAACCAGAACTAAACCAGGACTGAACAAGGACTAAACCAGAACTAAACCAGGACTATACCAGAACTAAACCAGGACGAAACCAGAACTAAACCAGGACTGAACAAGGACTAAACCAGAACTAAACCAGGACTAAACCAGGACTAAACCAGGACTAACCAGGACTAAACAGAACTAAACCAGGACTAAACCAGGACTAAACCAGGACTCTAAACCAGGTCTAAACCAGGACTAGGACTAAACCAGGACTGAACCAGGACCAAACCAGAACTAAACCAGGACTGAACCAGGACTAAACCAGGTCTAAACCAGGTCTTAACCAGGACTAAACGAGGTCTAAACCAGGACTAAAGCAGAACTAAACCAGGTCTAAACCAGGACTACACCAGGACTAAACAAGGACTAAACCAGGACTGAACCAGGACCAAACCAGAACTAAACCAGGACTGAACCAGGACTAAACCAGGTCTAAACCAGGTCTTAACCAGGACTAAACGAGGTCTAAACCAGGACTAAAGCAGAACTAAACCAGGTCTAAACCAGGACTACACCAGGACTAAACAAGGACTAAACCAGAACTAAACCAGAACTAAACCAGGTCTAAACCAGGACTACAACCAGGACTAAACCAGGACTAAACCAGAACTAAACCAGGTCTAAACCAGGACTAACCAGGACTAAAACAGGACTCAACCAGGATTAAACCAGGACTGAACCAGGACTAAACTAGGACTAAACCAGGACTAAACCAGGACTAAACAGACTAAACCAGACTAAACCAGGACTAAACCAGGACTAAACCAAGACTAAACCAGGACTAAACCAGGACTAAACCAGGACTGGACTAACCAGGATAAACCAGGACTAAACCAGACTAAACTAAGACTAAACCAAGACTAAACCAAGACTAAACCAGGACTACACCAGGACTAAACCAGGATTAAACTAACAGGACTAAACCAGGACTAAACCAGGACTAAACCAGGACTAAACCAGATAAACCAGGACTAAACAGGACTAAACCAGGACTAAACCAGGACTAAACCAAGACTAAACCAGGACTAAACCAGACTAAACCAGGACTAAACCAAGGACTAAACCAGGACTAAACCAGGACTAAACCAGGACTAAACCAAGACTAAACCAGGACTAAACCAAGGACTAAACCAAGACTAAACCAGGACTAAACCAGGACTAAACCAGGACTAAACCAAGACTAAACCAGGACTAAACCAGGACTAAACCAGGACTAAACCAAGACTAAACCAGACTAAACCAAGACTAAACCAGGACTAAACCAAGACTAAACCAAGACTAAACCAGAACTAAACCAAGACTAAACCAAGACTAAACCAGGACTAAACCAGACTAAACCAGGACTAAACCAAGACTAAACCAAGACTAAACCAGGACTAAACCAAGACTAAACCAGGACTAAACCAGACTAAACCAGGACTAAACCAGGACTAAACCAGGACTAAACAAGACTAAACCAGGACTAAACCAGGACTAAACCAAGACTAAACCAGACTAAACCAGGACTAAACCAAGACTAAACCAGACTAAACCAAGACTAAACCAGACTAAACCAAGGACTAAACCAGGACTAAACCAGGACTAAACCAAGACTAAACCAAGACTAAACCAGGACTAAACCAGGACTAAACCAAGACTAAACCAGGACTAAACCAGGACTAAACCAAGACTAAACCAGGACTAAACCAAGACTAAACCAAGACTAAACCAGGACTAAACCAAACTAAACCAGACTAAACCAGGACTAAACCAGGACTAAACCAGGACTAAACCAGAAAACCAGGACTAAACCAAGACTAAACCAGGACTAAACCAAGACTAAACCAAGACTAAACCAAGACTAAACCAGGACTAAACCAGGACTAAACCAGGACTAAACCAAGACTAAACCAGGACTAAACCAGGACTAAACCAGGACTAAACCAAGACTAAACCAAGACTTAAACCAGGACTAAACCAGACTAAACCGGGAGTGATCCTGGACTAATCTTGGACTTGAGAGCAGAGAGAGAACCCCGAGCCTGTGGAGGAGGGTGATCGGGCGACGCCCTGTGGGGAGGTGAGCCTCACAGTGGGAGACGTGGGTGGACGTATCCCCGTGTACCACGTCCACTACACCCCGGCTTTTACCGGACTGACAAAACTCCAGACTGACCGTAGAAGTGGATTTCTGATTTGGTTTTGGCTTTTTTGATTATTCTGGTTTTGTTAGTCTCCATGGAAACACAGTGTCCAGCGTCAGGGAGAATCAGGTCATGAGAAACTAGGATCATCTCACTGGGTTTTTCAGAGAGTATCCAGGGTCCGAGGCATCCTGATTTATCAAGACTGGAGCTTGAACTGACGTAATAAAAACGACTCAAACTTCTACCAGGATAAGCCGTTTCATTCGTTCATTCGTTTTTCAATATAAAATCAAAAATAAGAAAATGAAAAAACAACAGTTTTCTTCATTATTTGTCTCCAAAACCAAAATGAAAAAACAGATAATGATTCGTTTTTTCAGTTTTCAATTTTGTGTTTAAATGAAAAATTACTTTCCCCTTCACGGAACCAGCGCGCAGACGATGACACAGAACCACTCGGACCACTGGTGTCGGTCTCAGTCCCGCTCTTGTCCTGGTCTGGTCTCGGACCTGGATCAGTCCTGGTTCAGTCCATATGCTATGCAAAAGTCCGGCATCGCAGTCACGGAAGTCACGTAAACGGGAAACGGTTGTCATCCGTTTTTTCCATTCTTCATTTAAACACAAAATCGAAAACTGAAAAAACGAAGAAAACTGTTCTTTTTTCGTTTTCTTATTTTTTGGTTTTATATTGAAAAACGAATG